CTCCAGCCCGACTTGAACCGTTGACCTAGTCTGTGGGGGGTTAGCAGCTTTACCGTTAAGCTATAGGGCCCAACCCCTTATATCTTTGATCTAATTTTACAAATATAATCAATTTTACAGTTAATATTTCAGTTTAAATTTTGATATTAAAAAAAAAATTATCTAGTTAACAAATGACTTCATAAACCTAAGAATAGAATTCTAGATACTCTAGATAGTGTGAGTTACAGAACTGTAATCTTGAAAGCATATAGAATACAGTGATCAATGTGGCATAATAATGAACTTATAGTTATATTGACCTTTTGTCTAAAATAGGGGATGGCTAAAGCCATGTATCCATGTAATTTTGATGATTTATTAAAATTAAGGTTAGGATTGGAGTTAAATTGATATTAGTATAAGAAAAAGAATATAGGTAAAATTGCCTTTCTGACATTTTTAATTAGTGCTCCAAGACAGATTTAGAATTCTGTTTTTTATTTTTTTGTATTTTCTTTATTTTTTGCCAACTTTGGACTGATTCGTATAAACAAAATTTTGTGATTCTGGTTGGTTGATTTATATAAAAAAGTCATGTGAATACATGGCTTTAGATGACTCTCTAAAATAGGTTTTCTGATATTAAAAGTCATAAAAGTACTACATACAAGTCTAGTAGCTAAAAGAGTTATTAATGCAATAATAGAAAACAGTAATTAGTGAGATTTATAGGAATTAAGAGATTTGACAAAAATAACTATAACATGATATTCTATTACAAAATATTGATTGAGACTTGAAAAATCCTATGTATGATGCTTATACATGATCAAGACAGATATGATTCTGGTTTGCTGAGAATATAATGCTTATACAATTCATAAAAAAATTAAAATAAAAAGAAAATTAATAATATGAAGGTTCTAGAACTGAAAGCAAACAGAAGAAATAATAGTAAAACATACTTACCTAAACCTCCAAAAATTTCAAGAAATAATTCAGTTGGGTATGAATGAAGATAATAAAAGTTTTAATGAAAAACTCAATGCAGTTGGTTGGTTTTGAAAAAAAAAGTAAGTAGAAATTCAAACCAAAATTAGAAAGACTAAAGTAAAATGTATATACAACATTACTATAAGAACAGTATGGCTGTCAAAGTTTCCCTTCTACAGTGTGTTATCAGCCATCATAGTACAGTATCTATTATTCATTTTTATGTTTTTTGTAAAATAGGAAGGATCAACAAATTTGGTAAAATCAGTAGAAAAGAAAAATATGAGAAATAAGTATCAATTTTTAGTCTATAAAACTTATGTATATAAGTAGCAAAAATTACTTTTAATAAGAATAATTCTTGGTATTGCAACTTTGAAAGTAATAAAGAATGACTCTTGGTATCATAACTTTGAAAATAATAAAGAAGTATCCAAATAGTCTTTTACTCTTTAACAAAATTCGAGTTTGTATCTTGTTGTCTCTGTAACTATCATAGACACTATTTTTTGTATTGAATAAGAGAAAGAGAGAATAGTTATTAGTAATTGGGCCCCTTATATATAGAATTTAACTCAGATTAAGTTTGTGATTATCTCATTAAATAAACTTGATACCCGTAACTGATCAAAATTGTGATCTGTGATCACATGATGCTGTGGATCAAATTTACGATTGTAGTATTACTAATAAGAGAAATATAGAGTTAGTAAAATAACTAAGAATTGATCAAATTACTAAAAAGAAAGTAAAAAGAAAACTTATTTATAATGATCACTAACTCCTAAAGTTCTCAGACAAAGTCTTTTCATGCCTTTATTATAGCCTTGCTACTAGCAAGAGTTTGGTTATTATAGATAGTACTCTAATTAGAATAGTGAAACAGTAGTATAGCTCATAGTAAATTATATACTGGCCTAGCAAGTTTTCTGACACAGTTTGAACTACAATGGTCAATAAATGAAGAATTGGTAGAGAACCTAAAATAAAATAATTAAGTTTAAAAAAAATACGAAATAATTAATAAAATACTTGTTTTTGTGATCTATGAAATTCCAAGAAAAGTCAAAAAATAATGTTAACTGTTAATGTTAAAAAAAAAGATACTTAATCAAATTGTATAGTACAAACTATAAAACACCTTATTCTTTAATATATATAAATAATATAATATATTAAAACTTGTTGAAGTTCAATATTTCCAAATGAAAATATTTAAACTATTTTATTCTATAATGTTTTTCTAATAAATAATATAAAATATCTTGTGATTATTCAAACTATAATTTGAAGAGAGAAAAAAAAACTATTAAAGTCATGAAAGCAAATTCAATTTAAAATAGTAAATTAATAACCTGTGATCAGCATAACCAGAATTTAAACTCAACTTTGAAAACAATTAATACAGTCACTGAACTGTCGATGCTACATGACTAATTTTTTATCTGGTATGCATACCATTTTATTATATTAAAAATAGTGTAAGATTATAATTATGACATGTACTAGTGGAATAATCTGGTATTATAAAATGGTTTTTTTATATGTTGCATACTAGGTGAAGATTAAGAACAGTTAACCCAGTGATCTATGATTAAGAATTAAACAGACTTGACTAAACTATATCCTCTAAATTAACCTTAACTCAGGCCAAATTATTGTCACATAATATTGTAATAATCACTAGATTAGTTATCCCTTATTTACATTAACCTATTTAAATCACTTTTATATTCATGTTAATAGTGATATTAATAAGAAAACATATTAAAGTTGATATATATAAAGAAATTTGAATATAATTTTAATCTGTAGAAATTCATTTTATAGCTTAGATTGATATTAACAGAATAGGGATAACTGTAATAATAATACAATAATAACACAATTACTTATTATTTATTGGTTTTTTTTTATTAAAAGATTGACCTATGAAATAAAAAAGCAATAGGTTATAAATAATAATATTAAATTTAATAATATTAAATTTATAAATTCAGCTTTTGATATTTGCTAAAACAGTAAATAAAAATACATTGAACAAGATAATTATAGCATGATAAACATTGCTATTAATCTATATAATTTTTCATATTGCAAATATGTATGATTAATTATGCTAATACAAGGTAAAATAATAAAATTTTCACTACCATTCTTTGTGATCTGAAACTTGCATTTTTTCAATAATGAATGAAAAAAACTGATGAACATTAACTGATCATCAAAACAGAAAAAACTAGAAAAAAATACAAAACTATTCAGTAAAGAGATGTATAATCAAATAGAAAATACAATTAGAATAGAAAGAAACCAAGTCATTAAAAAACTTAAAAAAGCAAAAGAAGTGAAAAACAATAAAATAAAGGAAATGTGGTTTGGTTCAATTAAAAGTTTTATAAAAAATTATTTTTATATAATCTTTTAGACTAGTCTAGTACAGCTCCCAGATCCAGGTATTACCCCAACTGGTGTAGCAGACCGCCTCTGGGCACTCATTGAAGCAGCCAGAAGATGTCAACCAGTAAATTAGGTTAAAGTATGTACAAATTTGTAAATACAAATCTTAATAAAGGTTAACGGCAAGGCTGCCAAAGAAGAAAAAAAATTTTTAAAAATAAAAATAAAATATAAAAAGCAAATATAAAGATAAATCTTATTATACGTATTAAATATGTGAAGCATCTGAAATTGAAACCTATTTAATATTTTTTCTGTGATAGTTTTTACACAAATTTAAATCGACTTATATTTATATAAAATAATAACATGTCTTTTACTAATATATCAAAACTTTTTCTACTTAATAGAAGGTTACTGAAGCAAGAGCATGAACATGTCATTGATTCGTTAATAAAGCATTTTAATAAATTTTTGTATTTGAAACTATATTTTAGTATAGATGCTAAAGGTAAGCATTAGAAAAATAGTTATTAGATTTTTTGATTTGTGTATCTGCCCTATATGCAAAAAAAGCATTGGTATCTAAATAGTAAGTGGTGGATTAATGAAGAAGAAAATAAAGCCTATTATCTTATATGTGATAATTTTAAGGAACCAGACATTTCATTCAAGAAGATAATTAAAGTACTGTACGCGAAAAAAATTAGGCTACATGTAAATGGCACATCACTAGGTACACTACGATGCAAGTGCACAAAAAACATTTTTCCAAATTTTTATTTATGAAATTAAAAAAAAACCCTTCGGTCGGCCGGATCTGTTTAAAAGTTTCACGAAAACCAAGATACATGTGGCCTAATCGGGTAGGTTTTAAAAAAAAATTTTGTACATATGAAATTTAAAAAAAAAAAGCCGGCGGCCGGATCTGTTCATGTTATAAAAACTAAGATATTAAATTCTTGGTCTCTAATATAAAATAAAACAATATTTTACTAAATTAACATGGGTTTCTAATAACAATTGTAAAAAAGTTTTTACGATTATAACGGTGATAACATTACTGAAAGTGGTTTAATATTTCTCGAGATACAAGAGAAAACATTTTTTGTGAATATTTTAAATTATTTTATCGCGTTCAAAATTTCTAACTTTCTTTACCGGTTTTAGATAAAGTCAAGTTACACACTTATAATAATCCAGAAACTCGGAATCTGTAATGTAGGGGCAAAATTTATAAAGATAAGCTAAGAATATAAGATTTTTTTAATACATCGTTTTTGAGCTCTTTTTGACAAGAAACTCTTGAACCCTGTAACGCTTAAGTGACCGCAGTGCACTTCAAATGCAATGTCTGCCCTTGCGAATAGTACAAAAACTAATCGACGCGTTTCTTATTTTTATGATGGTATGTATTCATAATTTTTGTTAATTAACATTTCTTTTTTCAATAACGTTTGTAACCTTTGGTTTACTTATAGAGGATGTAGGTAATTATACATACGGTCAAGGTATGAACATACTGAAATTTTTTATTCGCGTTTAAACACTGTTTCTTTTTCACTAAACTATCGGTTAATTAGGTCACCCGATGAAGCCGCATAGAATGCGAATGGTTCATGATCTTGTTGTAAACTATAACTTATTCAAGAAAATGGAAGTTCTCGTATCCTTTTGTTCGTGATCTATCATTGTGCCGAATAGTTATATCATCAACTCTACAAGTATTTATTATTGTTATTTTGAAACACGCATATATATCTTTAATTGTCACCTTTGAATATGCTTGCTAATTTTGCTCGTAGACTCCGAAACGGGCGACATTCAGACAAATGACACGCTTCCACACGGATGAATATATCCATTTTTTGGAGAGAGTCACGCCTCTAAACGTAGAGGAGTTGTCGCAACAACAAACAAGATGTATTGCTTCTTATTGTTCTTATCAATACATGTACTTTTATTAATGAATAAGCATAACTAACACATTTATACTTTATTGAAATTAGTTAATGTTGGAGAAGACTGTCCTATTTTTGAAGGGTTATTTGAATTCTGTTCTATATCTGCCGGTGGATCGATTGGTATTGTATAATTATTATTTAAAATGACGTGTTAGAAACTCCATTTCTTTTTTTTCTTTTTGTTTTAACTATAAATAAGTAGACGCTGCCAATAAATTGACCAGCGGTGAGTCAGACATAGCGATAAACTGGTCTGGAGGTCTTCATCACGCTAAAAGGTTTGAAGCATCTGGGTTTTGCTACGTGAATGATATCGTGTTAGCTATTTTAGAGCTCTTAAGGTAAAATTTCAAATGTTTATTATTATACCAAGTTGTACTTAATATATATTGACTCCTATCAACACTTAATTTATCGAGATTCTATCAACGCGTCCTTTATATTGATATTGATATACATCATGGTGATGGTGTAGAAGAAGCTTTTTACACCACTGATCGAGTTTTGACTTGTTCATTCCACAAATTTGGACAGTTCTTCCCTGGTACCGGTGATGTCTCGGTACGAACACGCTATTTAAGTAGTTATATTTTAATTTATTACTTAAATGTATTAATTAATAGGATATTGGTATTGGTGCTGGGAAACATTATGCTGTGAATTTTCCATTAAAGGATGGCATGGATGACTGGAATTATCAAAATGTTTTTCGTCCGGTACACAATTTTTACAAATATCAAGTTTAGGTGTAATTTTAATCTTGCGGCGCGTTTTCATTTTTTTATCACATGTACATTTACGTGAAAATAGGTAGTACAGCATATAATTGAGTGGTATCGACCTGGAGCAATAGTTTTGCAATGTGGTGCTGACTCACTCGCTGGTGATCGATTGGGCTGTTTCAATCTTTCCATGAAGGGGCATGCAGCTTGTGTCGACTTCGTAAAGGATTTTAATATTCCGCTTTTGGTTGTAGGTGGGGGCGGATACACAATCCGTAACGTAGCCCGTGCTTGGACGTATGAAACTGGGTTATTACTTGGGGAACAGCTTAGCGAAGGTAATAAATTATTCTTGCACTCAAATTTTCATTGCGTTCATATCTTTATTAGGACGGTTTGTTCTATTTAGACTTACCATACAATAATTTCTTGGAATACTATGGGCCAAATTACAAACTGGATGTCCCCGCTAATAATATGGAGAATATGAACACACCTGCTTACTTGGCTGATATGAAGTATATTTCATTTTTAATTCATTATTCTTTAGTAATAAAAGTTATCATTTAAAGATAACATTCGTGTTTATATAGAGCAAAAGTATTTGAAAATCTGCGGAACATTCCTTTTGCACCTAGTGTCCAAATTCATCGTGAGTTTCATGAGATTTAACCTCTCTACATTACTAGAAAATTCCTTATTTAACAATCAATTTATTGTTAAGCTGTACCGTACCCCGAAGAGTCAGAAGAAGAAGAAGAAGAAGAAGACCCAGATATAAGAGTATCGCGTTAGTTTAAATTCCATTTTATTTTATTTTATTTTATTTTATTTTTGTGCTTAACATTTCAAAACTTCTATTTTATGTATCATTCAGAACGACAGTTGAATGCACGCGTTGTTCCAGAAAATGAACTTTCTGATTCTGAGGATGAAGGAGGAAGGCGGCACGAAAGAAGCTATTATCCTAATGGAAAGGCAGGGGAGTCCTCAGCACGTAAGGTTCGTGCAAACAACAAAAATTTACATAATGAAAGTGAAAGTCGCGGGTCATCTTCGCGTTCTAGTAAGACAAATAGCGGAATTAGGGATCAAGGACGTAACAAATCGTCAAGGTCAAATCAAATATTTGACGACGTACTCAACACTACAGTGAGTACTAGTGTTCCATCGGCAGATAGACCCTCAATAATGACTCCTTCGCCAAGTTCTTCTCGACCCCCTGCCCCACCATCCGATGTTACACAAGAGGATGTAATCGTGTCAGCACCCGGTACCCCACCAATATCAAATGCTAATAACTCTAATGAAACTGTCACTGCGGTAAACGAAACGACGACTACTATGGAAATAGATACTATTGAACCTGAACCTGAGCCAATAGTAAAAGATGAAGAAACTGATGATATTGCAATGCAATCGTGATTACGTCATTGACTTAAATATTATCGTTAATGTATATTCATGACATGCACATATTTAATAAAGACTTTTCAAATCATTAATTTGTTATTAATTTTGTTGGTTATTTTTCGCAATTGCCTAAAACAGTTAAGTTTAAGAAGATGAAAAAAAAGGGTAATAATATAAAGGAGGAATAATTTGACTCACCTTTCTAACGTTTAAAATTTCGCCTTTTTTGTCAATTATTTTATTAAGTATACTTAACCTAGCTTCTTTTTCTTTCTGTATGTCTCCAAGGTTCGATTCGAACTAAATAGATTTCCGTACAAGATGAATCATATTGATAGAATTTTATTCATAAATCTATAAAGTATCCTTCGATCGTTGTGTCACATACCTTTCTTTTAGCGCCTTTCGTATTTGATGGTTCGCCTTTAACAGGCTTATCAAACTTCCCAAGACTAGCAGTTGATGTTTTGGCCATGGTAATTTGTCGGCGCAATTCTGTTTTCTTTAGAACCTTTGCATTGACTTTGCTTTTAAGCTGTGGCTGTGCACTGTTTAATTGTTGACTTGCATCAATTTCTACTTCTTCTATGTTTCTTCGATGGCGTGCTTCATTCTTTGAAATTCGTCCTTTTTTAGCTTCACGTAATTTAGTGAATTGGTCTTCGAATGGATCTGGTGGGATATAAAAAAAAGGAATGTTAAATAGAAACAAAAATAAAGATTGCATTATTAAAAATAATAAAAACTAACCAGCATTATCGGGTACGGGTACCAACCATTCATTAGCGCCATCATCATTTGTGCCCTTATATCCCCACCGAGGAACCCATTCTCCTCTTCTCTCATCATAAATCAATCTACTTTTTTTATTCTTTTTAATGCCTTTAAGTTTTGCGAATCGTTCCCAGCGTGTCGGCGGCTTTGGTTTTGGCAACTATTTTTTTTTTAAAAAAGAAAAAAATCGAGTTAAAAAGTGAAAAAAAACAAGATAACGAATGTTAAATTCGTAGCATACAGGTTTCTCTCGTGGAATAGCGGTAACAATCTTTGGTAACTCGGCAACAACACCGACATCCTGTACCGAAGTTAGAGGAAGTCGGAATATTTCATTGATTAAGAGTTGGGTACCGTCACGGGTATAGGATTTTAAGTAATTATCAGTTTCAACTCTAAATATATAGATTTTATTAAATTTTTCTGGAATAAAAAGTCAAAAAATAAAAATTGCCTAAATTACTTTAATTTATTTTCTTCCAAAGCATTTACATCGAATCCAGCTAATAATCCGAGATCGAATTGTAAAGGAACTTGTTTTTCGACATTTATTGATTTACTAATTAAAGAAATGGATTTTAGGAATATTCACATGAAATTAAATATATGGATGAAACTCACTATTTGGATTTTTGAGCTTCAAGTTGTGCTGAAACGTCCATCTTTAATTTTTAAACTTGGAGAAAAAATTATCATTTATATGATTAAGTCGTGTAACATAATCGGTGAATTTATATTCTCGAATTAGGTTCTAAATGGTTGTACTACCAAAATCCGTATATATATTAAGTCTATGCGAATCTTCTAAATTTTAGTTTTCTGCAATGTCAACCGATGTATCTGCTTTAATTAACCCCCCGGAAATAATTAATCAAAAAGTTTTTCCTGATCAATCTGAAGACGTATTTTGGCAAAAGGCATCCGATGCTAACGAAGAAACTCGTGATGTTAGTTTTTTTAAATTAGATGATCTTTATTTATCATTTATTTAACCAATTTTAATTTTAAATATGGTTAGAATGACGTTATATGGAATCCGCAAAAACATGAACAGCCACAGCAAGAACATAGCAATTTTGTAATAACACCACCACCCCCACTTCCATCAACGAATACTATGTCTAGACATTCCCGAAAAAGTAGCAGAATATCATGGGGATTACAAACTGATTTTGAAAGACATATTGGGCTATTAGGTAACGTTTATTACTTATCCTATATACCACACTTTTTTAAATTTTAATTTCATACCATTTTATTGACATTGATGTGTAGAGTCAAAATTAACAGAAATCGTATCTCAAGGCAATAAACATGTTGACAAATCCGTAGGATTCGAAGGTGATTTTTAAATTTAACAAATTCATTCTAAACGATCATATCTACTATTATTTTAAATTATTATTATTATCCAAATTCAAGGAACACCGCTATCAACTTTGGGCTATCACCCAAGGGAATATTTATCACCCGACATAAATTTCGAAAACGAGGATGATGAACAACTTGACGCAACACACAATCCACAAGAATCAGATGAAGGATTATGGTTATTGTGGAAATCTTCAAGTATTACTTCCAAAAATAACTCACCATCAATTCAATGGAACCTTCCCATATTAACTCGAAACAGAAACATGAATGCTGTTACCATAGAATTATCAAATGGTGAATACGATATGCATCATGATGATGAGAATGACAGCGTTCTTGATGAAATGTTATTGAGTAATGGAAGAAGAAAGAGCGAAAATGATTATTTACGAATGAATGGTGCTTTTTGTAGAAATTCATTATTTTCCTACTGTTTGCCTGTTGTTACTTTTATGCATAATTGGTGGTGTTGTGGCTTATTAGGACTAGATGATGATTAAATAAAATTAATGTTTTTTGCAATGTTTTGTCGCAATTCTATATTTGTTCATTTGCTTGTATTTTAGAATTCTTACACTAATTAAATTCTATTATGAATTTTACAATATTATAGATCTATTACGTATTTAAATTTGTAAGCGTACATGCATGCAAAACTTTACTAATTTGGTTTTGGATTTTCATTACATATTAAAGCAGGAATTAATAAATGCAGGTAACCTAATTTAGGGGGCAGTTTTGACCGTTCCAAGCTTTTTTTGGCCTTGTTCCGTCCCAATTTTTTTAACTTATAAGGTTATGTCAAAAAAATAATAATACGTACAAAATTAAATTTAACATTAATAAATCTCTAAAAATTAATTAAAATAAAAGAATAAATATTCTTGTAACAACTTGTTATATGTAACAGCCTCGGATTAGCCAATAGCAGTTAGAGTTTGGGTTATTTTTATTGGTTGTACTAATTGAGTTGCTAAAATAAGTGCATAACAGGTTGTTACAATTAAAATTTGTTACGTATCAAATTTAGATAGTTAAAAAACAATTTTCAAAGTTAAAAATTATTTTTTAATTAAAAGTGAAATATGTTTTTGAATTATTACTACAGTCAGACCTCTCTATAGTCACCTTCTCTATAGTCACATTTACTTATAATCACATAAATTTTTAAAACCAACTT